TGATTTTAATTAATCGTATATATTAAAGTGTGATGTAATACATACAACGCACAGATTTTAATTAATCGTATATTAAAGTGTGATGTAATAAATACATTGCACAGATTTTAATTAATCGTATATTAAAGTGTGATGTACGGAATACTGATTAACTTGTTTTTTAAATACAAATACAAAAAAAAAGAACAAAAATAGTTGATCAAAATACAAATACAAAAACACAAAAAAACAGCTTTTCAGCAGTTTCAGCTAGTCTTATTGGGTGAGATGTTACGATATGCGTGTTCATTTTTTATTGACGCCCTCAACGTGATCAATATGTTTTTTTATAATCATTATATCTTATGTTGTCGCTGTTCCAAATAATGTTTTTGATATCTTTCCCATAAAAGGTATGATAGGACTATTTCGGAATGTTGACGTTACTTTGCTGTTTCATACTTTCGGAAATATAACGCGAATAGCCCTTTCATCTCGCGATACTTTTGCTATCACTCTCTTGTAGGTGTGTCTGCTTTTCTTGTCCGTAAAACACGATTTATCATTAGCATTTATCATCACATGGCCACTGTGTATTTCATTGACCTGAGTAAGGTTTAATGTGAGATAAAAATATGTATATCATGCGATATGTTACGGTGTAATGTCATGATATTGACGTAGCGTCACCATTCTGAGTATATCAACGATTTTAATTGGTTGACGACCAATCGATAATGATCCCATAATGTTACCCGTAACTGAACTATAATCATTGTTTGGAGATATAAACACTTTCCAATCAAATATTATTTAAATTGCCTAGATATGTCATTTTTGGAAACAAAATATTGTTTATACGTGTGTGTGTCAGAATGAATAATGGGCATGTTATAAATTGTGTAAATTGCTTGCAAACTCTGTAAATATGACTTGTATATTGGTAAAAGTTTAATATTTTGTTCAAATCTTGTTTAAAATATCAATTTTTTATGTTATTGTTTGTTGTGTTTCACTTTTTAGGATGGTTCAAATAAGACAATATAGACAATCACGTGACATTATTGAAGTGCCAACAATAAATGATGATGCCTCAAATAGCTGGTAATAATTCCAAATGTCTGACGTGTTCCAGCATGTACTGCCCTCAACCTATGTGGTGTTCTTACCCCTGAAGAGGTTATTTGCTGCCAAGAGGGACGACGTAAAAGCAAAAAGTTTCATTTAATGAATGTATATATTCGATGACGAGTCATATGACAGAATATTAGTGTGGTTCGCCTGGTTAGAAACACATGCGATAAATATGATATACAATACATTAACATTACGTGGACTTATGAATATTTAAAAAAAACATCGAATACCTCGACTCACCTCTGATCGAACTTGTTAATGCACAATTAATTGAAGGTACAGAGTACATGAATATATTTACATAACTTAACACTTACTATTTATGCAAGTACAGTATATATACTAGTTATGCACTCACAGACATGATCACTGTATACAAAAAGTACAATATATTGAATTACCATACAAATTGAACATTTTAAAAACCAAACACTAATATGCACAGCAAGTAAAGACAACTCACATATGGCCAAAAAGAAATCATCTTAAGAACGAATAACTTTCCATTCGCCAAATGAAACCAAAGGAAATTTTTTCGAACGATTGTTTTTGATAATTCAGGTTTATGAGACTTGTTCCGAGCACATAGCGCGCTGACCAAGTGTTGATATTGCTCAGTAGACGCAACCAAAGAACACGTTTACATAAACAGACTACTACCGAGAGACGTTGAAAAGGTCCGCCACTTTTTTAATTCAATTTCCGACGTGTTCGAGGTCGTAGTTCTGTCTCCAATTGGCATTACACTTTGCGCAAAACAAAACATTGTATTTTAGAACGAAATCGCTATTTCATACGGACTGTTCAGTTATAAATTTGTGCAAGTAAAACTATTAATTATATTATTTGTGTGAAGCGCCTCCTATGATATTGATGCACTTCACATGACGTATTTCTACCTGTTTCATATTCGTACCACTGAACGCCAACATACTCGAAAACATAGGTGAAACACATTATGCTGCTTTTAAATGTCGAAGCTTTAACCTCCTTATTTAGCCGGAGATGTAATACAGCCGGCGTTTTGCCAGTGTTTCCTGGCATATCTTACACGTTTTGTAATAAGAGTTATTTATACACTCTGGTGATGGGGTATTAGAATTATTGTGCAAATATTTTCTCTCACTAAGATTTGAGGTTTTTTTTTCAATGACACGATAATGTTGCTGTACATTTTCTTTTGCTTTTCTCTATCACGTGTTTGTGATATTTCCCCTTAACGTTACTCTTGGCGCAACAAAAACATTCCCTTCATCTTTATAAATATGTATAAATTTCAAGAGCAGTTGAATCAAATCGGACAATCAACGAATACAGTGCGCAACGACAATGTTACAAGCGACTGTTGCTAAAATAATGTCTCGCTGTTCTCTCATTGATTGCGAAACAGTTGCTAGCTTTTGCCGCTCTGATCCCACTGCCTCGTACCAATTTTACAGTTTTTGCTTTCTTTCTTGGCTTATTCAACTGGAAACCCTGGGCACTCGAATTTAAAATAATTCCTTGTTGTAATCATCGTTATTTTTGTTTTGTTTTGTTTTAATAAAACTAAATCCAACGGACAGACCTATAAATTAAAAATTTGTTATTACGAATGTCATAGGTCTAATGTGGACACGTAAAGAAATTATTGATTCGTTGCAGCAAAGACGGTCCAAGTCCCCAGTGACTTTTTTCATTCCTATCATTTACTATAGACAGTATGGTATGTATTTATAATTTCTGTTTTTAAATGTAATTGATGACAAATATGTTATAGTGGGTTATATACCACTATATATAAAATTATATTCTGCAAAGCGGGTTTATTTATCATGATTTGATGAAAATGCGAATGATTTGTGTATATCTGTGACATACAAACACTCTAAATGCTAAAATGTTGTGTGTTTATAAAAGGTGTTGGCATCTATTTGGTAACTATGGAGCTTAAATAAAACATTCTTGGAGGGGAGCTAAGTGTCATACAAAAACAAGGTGTCATAACTTTAATCATGGGGAAAAGACTATAGGCCAATAAATCTCATTAACGTGTAAAATTGCATCAAACGTTCCGACAAATCGTATTATAAATGTTCTACTCACAGTGATCAATTAAAAGCAGTACAACAGACCTGGAATTTTGTTATCCCTGGATTTTCATAATTCTGTAGATTTGTTGTGGAAGCTGTAAAGGCATTTAATTTTGGGATTAATTTATGAAGTGGATTGAAACCTTTTTTTTTAAAAAAAATATCTCCTTTTTATTGTAGTTATAGAACTGTTTGAAATTATTATCCACAGAACCCCAATTAGTAGGTAATGAAATTTCCAAAAACAGTTAGCAATGTATGCGGAAATATTACAATAAAAAAGTATTGAAGAGAATTTTAAGAGAAAATTAAACAGTTAAAAACAAGTCTGTGAATTGTGGTCCCAGAGGGCGCTGTCTACCATCAAGATTTCGAAAACGTTTGGGATATAAAAGTTTATAAATGTAGCACAACATGAACTCCCAAGTCTATTATTACGGAATTAAAAATAATGTTTTATTTGGAATGGCAAAGATAAATTGCAGACATTGGAAGTGATGGATTAAGATGATTGAAATTGACACTTTTCTGAAAGCCCAGAATTTTAAAGTTTAAAGATTTAAAAAAAGTTTACCATGGAGGTCGTGACTGATGGCAGGTGATCATCTAAGATGTGGTAAATAATGTTGGTGGCAGCAAACATTTTCTCAGCACTTACGTTGTAGGGGATTGAAAGACATTGTCTCGCAATTCCTTTTAGATATTTGCTCTGAATGGGCAATATTTGCACAAGTTTTCCCTGCCTCATCTGATATGAAATGACAGCAAAACTTTAATTTAATTTCAAATACAGTTTGTAGTGTTCTAAATATTATACTTGGCATTTATGAGATGAAAAATATTATGTTGAATTATTTTATTTTATTCTTTAAATAATACATAATAAAACAAATTTAGGGGAGAAACGAAAATCTTGTCACTCTTCGGTTGTAAGATTTAATTCAAAGACCACGAATTGGTCACTGCCAGCAGTCAACATTGCTCAATTTTATCAATATTATGGTGGTAAACTTGAGTTTATTTGGAGTAAATAGTATAAGCAAAACATGACAGCTGGCAATGAGGTGTTCAAAACGGAAAAGGTCACATTATCCGACATCTCAAACAGGTTTCCTTTTTAGTCCGAGTCCTCCTCCCGGGTAAACGACTTTTATAACTTCTGTTTGGTGAAGCCATTTGTTAATGATTTGTTTATAATATACAAAAACAAATTGAGTACATTTTTCAACGGGGGGGGGGGGGGGTCCGGACCCCAAGAACTGGAGGCTGTAACTTTTTATGATGACATGACTTCTGATTTGAAAATCGGAATTGCCCGGCAAAATAAACGATGTTTTGGTTGGAACGCGTGTGGGCTCTTATTTATATACACATTGTTCCGCGGATGCGTATGCGCGTCCACCGAGCAATTTCAACAATAGCCGTCATCACTGTATTGTTATTACGTAACAGTATGACTATTCTTACTTAGAAACTGGGTGGATATATGAAGGTCACGAGTACCAGAACTGGAAGATCAGTAACTTTTTCATATAATTGTAACATTATTTTTACTTCGTGAATTGTGGTTCAAGGTCACGCATTCCATGTGACATTTAGACTTTGGTCTTCGTCGCATAAATGAGTCCCGTGACATCATCTTTACACGGTACACTTATAATATTAAGCATGACTGGGACGCGCGGTAAACATGTTAAGCTGATGCTTTTAAACCTACGTGGAATAGTTACCATGGAACCCGTTCTATTCTCACTGATGTTTTCCTTCTCCAACATGACCGCCATTCGTGTCGACTACGTGAAGAAGGTAGTGGCCGCGTCGTACGATTATACATCGAATAACGACGATAACTGCACGGCAAAGAACTTGACCGACCCACACTACATTCTTGGCTTGACAGTAACCTCTGAGGCATCTCAATGGCTGCTTTATTTTGGAGTGGTTTCCATGGCGTTGTCGCTGTTCTCTGGTACGTTTCTCGGATCGTACAGCGAGCGAGGCGGGGGTAGAAAGCTACCACTACTTGTACCGATAGTCGGGTATACGTTTTATATGTTTTTAAATTTAGTCTTCATGTATCTTGAACTGTCGCTTGCATATTTCTTTATAGCAGAAATAGTGCTGGGGTTGACTGGGAATATGTACACGGCATTGGCTATTAGTTTTGCGTACATTGCTGACGTGACGCCTCCGAAGAGACGAACCTACCGTCTTGTCATTCTTGAAAGCTGTGTTTTTATCGGAGCAAGTATTTCGCAGCTCAGCACAGGTTACTGGATCCAATCCAGCGGTCTAATCCCGCCTGTCTGGATGGGTTACAGCCTGATGATTTTTAGCGTTTTCTACATCATTATCTGGGTGCAAGATACGTCATCTACGCAGAGCGACACATCCTGGAGTTTGAAGAAACAGTGTTTGGATGTGATGCATTTATTTACACGTAGTTCGAAAGATGCATGCCTTCAGCTCTCTGTTCTCTCAGTAGTCGTGTTCATGTCGTTCTTGGTAATTGGTTCTGCCATGAGCATCTCTATGTTGTATCTTCTCAGTACACCGTTCTGTTTCAATTCTATCTATATAGGTTACTATCAATCCATATTATTCGTCTCCAATGCAATTGGTAAGTCAAAAAATTCCAGTCAAATTTGCATAAATTAGTTTATTAAGGCAACAGATCCATTAGAAACATTACTCAAGAAGTATGCTTTGGTTTCGCGGAATCGAATCGACGGTGACTAAAATCTCGATGATGTGCTTCCATAATAGCAATCAATATTTTTACCAACACCTGTGTTAGATTGACATGATTTACACGACCTCAAAGTTCGGCGTTCGGTTTTATGTTATGACGCACACCGGCCTACCGTTACCTTCCCTATGGTAATAACAACGGTTCATTCTTGTTCTAAGGTTTGATATGTTTTGGAAAGCTACTATCTTACTGCCTCGGAGATCTTGGTATGGCCATAGCAGGTTTGTCGTCTCATCTGTTTGGCATGGTATTATTGGCGTTCGCACACAATAAAGCAATGGTGTTTGTTTGTAAGTCCTTTAAATGTTGATGTTATCGCTGACCTTCTCGTGCACTTTATTACTGAATTCTTACAACCTTTCGGCCATTAGTGACTGAAGTACGCCCTCTACCATTGTGGTGTGTTTGATATAGTGTATGGGCGACGTATAGTGTATATAGGTGAAGGCATTCTGTATAATATAGTAATTTTTTGTTGTTGAAAAAACAAACTCGTTACTGACCTTCTTTCAGCTGGAGTTGTTGGTATGTTGGCGTCGTTATCATTACCGGCTTTACGTGGACATTTATCGAAGCTGTTTGGGCCAGAAACGCAAGGTAGAAGCTCACAATGTTTCATACATTTTCATGATGTGCAGGTTGTTATTTAATAGTTCAACCGTCACAACAAACTTCGTAATTTCATTAAACGTACAGTAGTTGATTAATATTTATGTTTGCACTCAACCTAATGCATTATTATTTGCAGGTGTTTTATTTACTATCCTAGGGTGTACGCAAGCTATTGGCATCTGCATTTCCCCAGTCGTATATAACAACATATATTCTGCCACAGTCGATACTCAGTCAAATGCAGTGTTTTTTGCGTTCGCTATTGCCTTACTCCTTGGTATATTAGTTGTCAGGTAGGTAACAATGAACTGGTTGTTTTATTGCCATGGTAATTTGAAAGGAAGTTGAGCTTTATATTCTTGTAGTGGGATCAGGCTGGGGAACGAGACGAGATATTAGAATACATTTTGCTGTCCAAAATATATTCACATTGATAGACACAAATATACTATACTGCTAGGTCATTGAGTGAGTCCTATATCAATACATTTCATGTGGAAAAGCAATATTAACGTTGAATATTACGATAAACACTTTTCAGTAAGAAAACAGTGTAGCTGTCACATGCCGCCAATATCGAATAGGACGCGATGTGACGATGATGGCGCTTAAAAGTTCAAAGCTCAAGCTCAAAGTTGAATTGGTTTTATTCTTGCTTTGTCAGTGTGTGTGTTCGTTCGGTTTCCGCAGTCACATTTCAATGGAACTTGATTCCAAGGAACACGTAGTGGCGTAGTTGTGCCGCGTGGAGCAACCTGATAAAGTAAAATCGACACCATTGACGCCAAGATTCCACAGTATTGATTTTAAACTATATAGATATTACAATTTACAATTTTTGAATTTAGCTTTATTTCTAAAATGGAAACCCTATAAATATTGGGATTCCTGAATATTACAATCACCATAACAGATTGCAACTGATACGATCAGACAGCAGATTTCAACCGACATGACATAACTCCTAACATATTTCAACCGATACGACCACAACTTTAGCAGATTTAAACCGATACGACCACAACTTTGGACGACACGACTAGCATAACGCTAGCAGATTTTACCCGACATGACCATAACTCCACAAGATTTCAACTGATACGAATATTATGCTAGCAGTTTTCAACCGATACAACCATAAATCTACCAGATTTCAACTGATACTACCAAAAATCTAGCAGATTTCAACCGACATGACCATAACTCTAGCAGATTTCAACCGACATGACCATAACTCTACCAGATTTCAAACGACATGACCATAACTCTACCAGATTTCAACTGATACGAACATAATGCCTGCAGATTTCAACCGACACGACCATAACGCTAGCAGATTTCAACTGATACGGCAATAACTCTAGCAGATTTCAACCGACATTACCATAACGCTAGCAGATTTCAACTAATATGCCAATGTTTACCATGTTGCAAACACTATTTATAGATATGTCGTTGAAGGTTTTTGACTGGAGGATCACCCTAGTACTAAATGTATAACTTAAACATCTTTTCAAGCAACACCCTAACTTGAACATTTTAATTTCTCACTTTTGACTGACATTGGAGCAAATTATCTGTCCTCTCTTTGTCCGATTGCTGCTGTGTGGATGAAAATGCTCTAATGAATACTAGGCTTGATTCCATGAAGACATATAAAAAAGTAGAGCATAACTCAAATTGTTATACCCACCCTCAAAAGACATGTGGGAAGTAGAACCAGCAGGAATTACTGCTTTGGCCAGAGCCCTGTGTAGTTATTATTATGAAACCAAAGAGTTTTTGGGTATGATGTAAATGATGATGATGATGTCTGTTAAGTAGCGGGAAACAGAGCCATATCCTTGAAAGCCAATGGGTGAAACATACTGTTACACATGTGTACAATTTGCATATAGAGATGGACGTTTTCAACACACATGTGCACCAAGTTCACTCACTGATTTTTCAGTGAGGTGTGAATGTTAATACCATTGTCAACACAGGACACCAGATTGTTTCACCAGCCATCATTTGACATACATGTACCAGGAACCAAAATGTCTGAACCATTGCAGCCCAGGGCCACTGAGCAGATGGTGCGTGGATAGAGTATGTGAGAATATTAAATTCGCTGGCCTGATAATGAGTTGCGAACATAGTTTCTCTAAAAAAACTGACAGATAAATGTCAGCAACCTGTTTTACTAGTGTTTATTTAACACAAGTAGAATTTCATTATTTTCTAGTTCTGACTTGACAGTTGTAGTTGGTCATATGATTAATGTCATGGGCAGTATTATCCAATTACCTTTAGTTTGTAAATTATAACACTCCATGATATCACTCATATCAACCAGATCTATAAAGTGATAACAGATGAAAACCACAATTTATTAAATATATTTTCCCACTTTCCTTATTTTAAATATTTTTGTGCCAGAAAACTATGCAGTCAATACAATATTTTGATAAATCATTCTGTAGCGTTTTATCAGGATGCTGTGACAAATTTGTTATGTTTATAAATGTTCTAAGGTGTGTGCATGGGTGGGTGGGTGTGTGTGTGTGTGGGGGGG